AAGACTCAATGTCAGTTCCGACAGGCTTGTCCAATAAAAGGGGCTTAGGGATAGATTCAAAGGCAGAAGTGTAATCGAGGAAGGTAAGTCTAACACACTTAGCACCTTTGTCGAGACTGGCAATACTATTTTGATGTAAAATAGCGGGCGTCTGAAGTGCTCCTTCTGGGTTTGTAGGAAAATTGATTTGGTTATATGAAAGTGCCTAAAGGATGTCCAAGCACGCAAAGCAACAGTTTCTACATTGGTTTTAGGAATGGCGAGGTCATTGTGGTCGATCAGAATTTCACTTTCGCTCCAGAAGATATGGAATTTGTACCGGAACTATTTTAATTTCCTTCCAGGCTGTTGGTACGTCATCAAAAATGTTTGTGAATGAACGATATACGATTGCAGCGCGTTTCGTAAAAGGAATACCTGGTATGCCGTCTCGTCTGATGCTTTGCAAAGGTTTTAATGATTTTAAACATTCGAACACGTCTGTTTCATTGGATTCAACAAAACTGCCTTCTGCTATGCGTAAACAACTAGATAATATAACATTAGCAGGTTTATGTATGAATGACTCGTTCGGTGCACAGACATCACCGTAGACCTCACTTCTGAATATTCCTTGCCAGTAAGATCATATACTAGAAGGGTTTTCACATGACATAATTTTCTGGTTTCACATAAAATTTCGGTGTTTTATTTTAGATTTTATCCTACAGTTAGGTCATTTTACACCAGTATTATCCTTCGATTTATACAGTTTTCCCTTTTGCAGTCCTTTTAATTGCAGAGAAGAAAGTCAACCAAACCTTAGAAAAGTTACTTTAGCTGGACAGCAAATATCAAGGCAAAATTTAAGATAGCATGTAACAGGACCATTTGTATCATCCAGAGCATCATTTTTAAATATTTCTCATTGTGTGGTCTGTCACGTGCATCTGGGTTAATGTATATTGTCATGTATAAGCTCATGCGTATGGTCTTCTTAGACTGATATGTAGAAGTTTTTCTGCAGTTTGCCCCCCCCCCTTTATTGGCAGAATACGTACAGTACAGTGATCTGAGCTCAGCAATGGCGCACGTTTCCGAGTTTCACTAACGAAGTCTAGTGTGGCATCAAAAACGAGTTGAAAAACTATTAGGTTACTATGACCAAGAGAACACAGGAAGCTGCAGTCATAAGAGTTAAGATTCCCGCGGACAGTAGACAATGAACCACTCATTATTGGAGCGGCTAACTCCATGAATTTATCAGCTAATCTGGATAATTCAGAATAGCTGCAACCAGGAGTTGCGTAAACATTAGTCATATAAAATGAATTCAAATTTATCTAAATGTTTGGAACGACACCTAACAGTGATACAGTCTATGTTGTCATTAGAACAGGCGAAACATGAACAATTGGATGAACACCACTGAGTGTTGATAAAGACAGCCACATCTTCACCTCACTTTTACGTAGAACTACACTGATCGTGGCAAAACAGTTTGAAACTATTTAAAGACACTAAATTTGTCACTGTATAGGTTGTGTAACCAAGTTTCTTGTGATGCTATAACACCAGAATTACGATAAATAATATAACATAGGAGGCATCAATACCTTCCTTAGTGTCTGCAGTGCCATTGTAGTATCCCTACATTCTAAAGTTAGCCCGAAGTTTGGGTTTTCAGTAAGTTTCCATTTGTTAAAGTTCAATACGTCCGAGAAAGGCTATTCCACAGAATATGTAATCAGAGCGAAGTTTCCCAACGTAGTCCGAAGTAAACTTCGGCCAACTTCCACGTTGCCCGAGATGAGCACTATGTTATTGTCGAGTGGGTTATAAACAGTGTACCTTACCCAGTAGAGATCTGCAGTTCAAGCTTAGTATCTCGTGTTGTGTCATTTGATGTAGTTTTGTTCACTTAAAAGCGCGCTGCCATCCACCATGATATCTTTTAGTAATTACATCTTTCAAATTCATATGGTAGGCTGATGACATTTTAAAAGTTTGCTTGAGTATTTGATACAATCTAAGGTCATACTTGGACAAATAAAACAGTGATGTGATATATGGGATGGAAAGGTTTGGTGGGTCAGGGTTTAAGCAGGCCGCGACATTGGTTCATATGCTTTCTTTTGAAACTTTGGTACAACATGATTGGTCATAAAGTGGTCATAAGGCTTCTTATGACAATTTTGTCAGTCTTATTCCGCACTATAACACAAACCTTATTAGCTGTCTACGTAATTGCTTTATTGTCTTATTTTTTGATCCTTATCGAAAATGTAATGCTTCCCATGGATTTCATTCTAATGCAGGACAAAAACTTCGTGCTTCTGAGATTTAATGTACAAACAAGGTGGTGAAAACCTCTGGTTGTTCGGCGATGAGTCTACACACGTAATTTTTGAGATATGATTTTCGTGGATGTGTTCTAGCCCGTGATGAATAGGGTACCTATAAGCTGTAAGCGCCTTAGCGGTACCAAGGTCACTCCTCAGCCAGTAAACACATGAAAAGTTTTGGCTCGTCCTATCACATTTTCCGATATCGATTGCAGAACTATCTCAGTCCCCATAACTAAGGTTTAGGAAGTAACGAAAACCACTGAAGAGTTACGGAAGCAGTGATGGGATCATATTCCAGAGGAGTGTCGGTTCTCCCACAGAGTTATCAATGTCCGGAACGTGCTACCGCTACAAGTGGTACCAGCCCCTCCCGTAACTCCATTCAAGGAAGAACTTGACCTTCATGAAGATAACGAATGTTAGGACTGGCACAGGCTAGCAGTCTACTATTCTTTTCACTGAAGACTGAACAGACATGGGTACCCCGTGTAACTGTGTTCATATATCTCTGCAAGTAACCAATACACCAATATTACGTATTTATTGAAGCTAATTTCGTTTATATGTATTAGGTATCAAAAGAGACAATTATTTACACCTTTCCAAATCCTGTGCTGTCTTTGGCTTTGCCTATTGTTGTGTATTTTCTTTTTGGCGCCTGTCGGTTAGACTAAGATCTATAACATTCTGGTCAAACAAAGGTGATATCTACCTGGGTTTTCCACATTCACGTTGAAACTTATTTGGAGATATTACCGTTGCACATACATGACTCACAAAACAATCACCAGTCATATGACCGAAAGAAAACAGGCATCTCTTTGATAAAAGACTGTAACAGTCAGTCAAATTGAGAAAGTTTATTTAGGCAAGACATTCTGCACAAAATGTTGAACAATAGGTCCGCAGGTTCAAATTAAGATATTGGTGTTTTGTTGAACCAGCTGTGATGTATGTACTGCTAAAGATGCCTCTTTAATCTACCATATTCTGCTTTTAGGGATGGTCCTCCGAATCTTTGATGCATTGCGTTTGCGTCTCAGCCACTAGGCTTCCAAGTTATGAATAATGATTATTATATGACGGAAGTGTGTCATCAAAGCTAGCATAGAGTGTGCTTATTGCTGTGGGTATGATTTGTTATTTCTAACTGGTTTGAGGCCACTACTCTTAATATTTGTCGCCAATGCATAGCTTTTGTGGTCGTTGCATTTAGAATTGGGTAGTATCCCACTAACTACTCGTCTCACCTCTGATGTCATATACTCTAACACCATCACATGTATTGCAGACAAACGATCGTTGTATTCTCGATACTGAAGCTATCTTCGGTAAATTAAACTGAGCTGTCCCATGAAAATTCTGGCTAGAAAGGAATGTTCGTGAGAAATTTAGTGACACCTTGAAAGCTCCACATTTGAACACCTTACGCAGGATGAAGACTAACAGTCATCTCAACCAATTGTGGGGTTAGATAGGGCTGTCTGATTTTCTTATTCCTCTTCAACTTTGCCATCGATGATATTCTTGAGACAGCCCTGTAGGAAGTGTGCGGTGGTAGTTTAAATCTGCTGCCAAATGCGGACATCATCCTACTGTCCCACGGTATAAAAGTCATTCTAATGACTGGTACCTATAATCATGGTATGTGATTTGCACCATAAACGTGTAGGAGCCTGTACCTGCACTCATATCCCTGAGCGGCAAACGTTGGGAGTTGTTGTAAAATCTATATGCCTCTGTAGTCGAGTGAGTGCTGGTAGAGGTGTGACTGGTGAAATTTACAACCTCACGTCGAGAGGCAGAGTGGCATACGCCATTCTGGGTCAAATCCGGTGCCATTATCACGGTCCCCTACTTGGTAAAAGTTTGCATATACAACGTGTCAGTGCCCACAGTCCTACTCTATGCTTGTGAAACCTGGCCTGTCTCCGTTGAGGACTCCCGATCGCTCTGCACTTCAAATCATCGTTCTCTCAGCAGAATGCTGGCGTTTGATATAAACGTTGAGTGTGGCAACTTGGAACGATTTATTGGTGTGCGAGCTTGTAAGTTGGTTTTGTCTGTCTATCTGATACACAAAAGCAGCAAATGGTTCTTTTAAGAAACCGAAAATGCTCTGGAAATTTGCTTCTTCTAGTTCTGACGAGTCATCGTCGAAAGTATCTTCAAAATCTTTTGTCGCAAATGAACCTAATGCAGGCAAGTTAACCATAGTGTCAATGTTATACCTCTCTATATATGTTGTAATCTGTTTTTAATCAGAGTTTTAATATTTTAGTTATGTGATCTATCTCTATTATACCTGTTTTATTTTAAGTAAAATGAGATGACTTCTTTATCAGCAGATGTAACTATGGGATAAGCTTACATACTACTTTTTCCAATCACTTGATATAACAACCTATCAGTGGCATCGAATTTAGTTTATAAAAGCAGACATCAAAATCGTAAACGTTTGGGAATTAAATGTGTGTACGGAAATATGTTTATGTGTCTCTCGTAATGGAATCAGTATATAAACCTCAGTATTGCATAGTTTGTACGAACAAATAAGGAGATACGTTACCGATTAAAACTAAAGGTTTCCAGTTTTACTTCATGGAAAAGGTTGAAGATTCATACATCTGTGTTCAAAATACTGAGTATAAGAGTGATGTATTTGTAGCAATGTTAGCTCATAGATGAATTCTTACTATCAACTTTAGTACTATCACTATTAAGTATAGGGCTTTCAAAGTCCAATTTCATTCCCAGCAGATGACGTACAGGCTCCAAATCCTGTTGAATCTATGAAGAGGTAAAAGCAAACAAGATAACAGCAAAGGTATGAACAATATCATTAGAAATATTTATCAAGCACCAATTTTTTCCTTTCAGGAAAAACTTATTCAGCATTACTTTTGCAAATAATGCTAAATTTGAATGAAAATTAGTCTGAGTTGGTTCGAAGAAAGAATGCAAAAAGCAGATTTTCGTAAACAGGATGGAAAACAATAACAGCACAGACTAATTTATTCCTTGCATGACGGATCTTTGAATATCACTAATTTTGTCTCTATTAATCGTGGATTTAATCGAATTTCTCTAGCCTTTGCAATATAATACTCTGCGAACTTCAGAAGACTAATCTTCCTGAACATCTCTCGAGAAAAAATGGTCTCCGTGAGCATTATTTCTAGATTTCTAGGCGATCATAGACTGGTAATATGTTGGATGAGAACCTCAGTATTTTTTCACCTAGCTTATGACCGAGTAGCAAACTTGTTCCGTGAAAATTCAGTTTTGAGTACTTAGAATCTAAACTCCATTTCTGCTACCATCAGATGGCCGATTTGTGAATGGGTAAGACTGCGTAACTGGGTAGTATTTCAATGAAGTTAACTAGAGATGAAAAGCCTTAGTATCTGAGTTTAGTGTAATGGTACAAGAACACTTTAAGATATAAAGATCACCGTATAGACTACAAAGTGGAAGGTGATTATTGATGTGCATACATAAACCAGCGGGAAAATCTCTGTAAGTCGTTGGTTTCCAATATTTCATGAGTGTTTTCTGATGATAATGAACAAATTTACAACACCACATCAATATAACTTTCCATGTAACTTGTAGCAAAACGACTTTATTGATTGAACAGATCCTTCAACAATTGCAACCTTTTACGCAGTTTCAATGTGCACATGGCTTTCATAGACTGTGGATCAGTTTTGATTTCAAAAACCCAGGCTAGAGATAGTAGTTACAGTACCAGCATTTATGCATATTTTCCTTTCGTATACATAACTTGAAGTCCACAACATATACCTTCTGTTTTTAATAACTGCTTATCTGTTATATCAATTGAAAATATTACCAAATTAAAGTATATATGTACTTAAAACTCCCTAATTTTTATTTACATAGTTGCTAATTTGAAATGAGATTTGATGAGTTAATTATACGGATTAAAAATTTTCCGTTATGGTACCTTTATCTGGAAGGACAGATTACCTGAGGCAAACAGGATATTCCGACTTTATTTTTATGTGCAGCAACGTTGTATCTGTCTGTAAGTTGAATTTCCCTTGTGTTCACATGATGAACTCATTTCATATGTGATGAAAATATGTTTAAACGCATACATCAAATATGTAAAGGTGGTGAGTCAGACGAAGCAACTCTATGCATACAAGAGGAGAATAAATTCCCTCCAAAATAAAGAGGGCACATCAACTTTTAATTTTCCGCCATTTTCATTGCAAGCTAATGAATAGAAATAGTCACTGTTTACGTGATAGTCCACCGGCAGTTTTATAATACTGAACAAGGTGCGAGGACCTTACTTTTAGTACTAAAACTGATAGCTTACATTTCATCAGTCTACAATCCGAGGAATATTGCCTATTAATTCTGATGTCACTGTGATACAAGATCCATCCTAATATGGCTGGAAACCACTATAAAGCTTTATTTTACTCAAAACGCAGGCTGTTGATCGTGGTTTTCGTGTTAATTACGGATGATAATGACGGCAAATAACTGCCGAGAAAATTTTTCTCGAACACATGCTAACCAACAATAGATATCTTTCTCTTGAAGTGATTATTACACTCCAGCATCCTCAGAGAAAGTCGTGACTTTTCAGTACTTAAATTATGTATAAACATTTATAATACAGGCAAAACATTTAACCAATTTCTGTAGAACTGACGACTGAAAGCAACCAGAACAACTGAAATATTTGCCAGTAATCAATTTTTAAAATATAAAGGAGTTGACTTATATGATTTGTTGATACTTGTAGTTTCTCGTTGTTATTATGGATCAAATTGATCGACCTCTGTTGGCATATGGGGTCCTATAAGAATGCCTCGATGTTACTTGATCAGTCACTATGTTGTAATTTGCTTGGTGGTGGCTAGCAATAGGATCCAAAACGCACGTTTCGCTTATTTGGGACTCATCACCTGGATTTAACTGCACCCCAGTGAGTGATGTCTTTCCAACTGAGGCTCAAGCCCAGGACCTATAACTTCGGAATTCAAAGGGTTATCCGTTGGGCTCTCGTGTCCCAGTAGCCTAAAGAATAACCCTTGGGCGTCTGAAGAGACGGCTACTGGGAGAAACATCATCCACTGAGGTGCAGGTATATCCAGCTGACGAGTCCCGCATAAGATGAAACGCGCGTCTTGGATTTTACTGCTAGTCACCATCAAATGAGTTGACTGATAGCTTATGATAAATAGGTTTCATCAACGCAAGAAGTTTAATTTCGGCACAATGACATGTTGTAGTCCAATGTTGGTCATCATTGACAATAAAAATTATCTGAAACATTATCCAGTGAATAACAACGTGTCACAGTTATTTCAAATAAACGAGCTAATGCTGAGTAAATAAGTTCTGCTTTTGTTTTTGCGAGATATGTCGTACTTCAGATAAAGAACTGTTCAAATTGATAATGAACATATTTATGAGTACACCGAAATACAACTGTTTCATGTTATGCAATTCTCACCTGGAATAATACTAGCGGTAATATTGCATTATAGTACACTACATTACTTTGGCGTCTAGTTAGATGAAACCTTTTGCGACAACTTACTTTCAGTCACCTAACGCCATCTAATCCATCGTCAAGCTTTCAGTCACAACCGTCTGAAAGCTACACAAACGACCGTCATTTATTAGTCTACTCATTGCAAAGTAAATTGTACTGAGGCATGGAAAATCAACCGGAATACTTACTTCTTGCTGAATATGTTTAATACACTTTTCAACACAATTTATATTCCTTTTAGGTTTCTTAGATGTTTTTCAAAGTTCGTTAGAATGCTCGGATTCAGTGCCGTACTAATTTAAAGTTATACTACACACGAACAAAAGGCGAAATTGACTTACCTGTGGAAATTCTGTTACCAACTGGTCTATAACGGCCATTAAACTTCGAGCACGATTAACCTGCCTTGTTCGTTCATTCTCAGTTGAAGTGATCGAAGGACAAAGACGACGATATTTACCTTGTTTTATCTGTTCCCAGTAAGCTGTAGCATGCTGACGCATTTGAAGCTCGAAAATATTCTAGAAGTGTATGAAAATGAATGCAAAATTAAACTCAAAGCAATGTGTATGTGTATATAATCGTTAAATTTCATAACCAGTCGGTTTTCCTACTAGGGGTTTAAAAAATGTTGGCATCATTGCAGATAAACATCCGTTTTCGAACATTACCGATAGAATTTGTTCAAAAAATATTTCGAAACCTAATATTCGATTAACATTCGTCTCTATCACGCCTTTTCTGAACAAAACTGAACAAAATACACTTCACAACTACCTAGAAAATTATGTAATCATCATGAGCATAGGCCTCACAAATAATGACACGTTCACACCAACACTAAGGTGTTTTATCTCCAGCACTATTTGATTTTGATAGTGAGCACCCTTTAAAGGAACAAAAACTATTGTGAAGTTGGTGGATATTACAATTGGAAGGGGTGACGAATAAAAAAACAAAGTTACCAACACAATTTCAAAGGGCAGTGGATTCATGCACGGAAAATCTGGTCTTACACATGAAATCTTGTCATTTTATTTTTGCTTAGTGAGCTTATACAGTGCAGTAGGATAAAAGTAACGTTTTGGTGATTTCACTCGCTAAGCTGTACGGTCGCATTTGTAAAAACTTTTTGGTGAGAATTTTTCTATTTTGTATATCTTCACGCAAAACGAGACTTGTTTAACCCTTACTCCTTTTCTGGTCTTCATCGTTAATGTTTCAAAACACACACCCTGTTCTAAATCTTTCTTTCTATTCATTTCTTACATATTATCAGCTTTTCCTAATTTCTATACTCACCTTGATAACAGTTCATCCAATAAATATTTTGTCATGTTACTCAATTCGCTACTCAGACTAAATTATCCTAACTGAATTTCTATGACATCTGAATCTTTGTCATAACAATTTAATTATGCGTTTCAATTACTTTTTAACATTCATAAGCATTTTGATTGTTTTAGTATGAAAATACTTCGATTTTTATATTTATTAAGTTGTTTGTTACCACGTTCAACTAACTGCTTTAACATCAATTGTAAATTCTCATCAAAAATTGTATGAAAGTGCAATTTTACAGCTTAGTGAATGAAAAAAGCCGAAAAGAGTCGCTTTGGTGAAGAACGTGTTTCCACTTTCTTGTGTTTTTTTGTGGATTTTCACGACTCAAAAAGTATCCAGGCAGCTATTGGAAAAAGAAGAATGCGTAATTCGGAATTTTTGTGAGGTAAATTATATCAGTAAATAGTCTACCGACCAGTTAGCCATGTCACCAAGTTGAGTAGCGGCTTTCATAAATTTCAAGATGGGTAACCTTAAAACAGAAACAATGACAAAGTTAGATTTACAGTGGCAGCTTCAAGTTCATCTATTTTTGATTAAATTCTTTCATGAGGAAATATGTGCTAATTGTAAGTATTATTACATTTTCCGGTCGGTGCATTGCTCTGCAACGTATGATCTAACTATTTAATTCATATCCACGTTAAGTTTTAGTTTAGTATCCGTAAGATGTTTTTAATCCTGCACCTGATTTCACTAACACTGAGCAGAGAAACAACTGATTGACAGGCATACAAGTACTGAGTACTAGCGCACAAACCAGTCCTCTTACTTGATTGGTGTTATCCTCATTATCGTCCTAATCGGTATTTGGATTCTCATTGTTCACATTTAGTACGATATATTCTACTTCTAAGTAAGATATGCTAAGATTAAGGAGGAAGTATGCATTCAACTGCGACATTATCACAGTCAATCAAATCCTTAAATTTTTCACTTATTGGTGGGAAGTAGTTAATTTTTAAGTTCACTGGCAACTTATTATGCACATATAAAGTGTAAAGTTGGCATTTAATACATTGTAACAGTGTCGCGTTTCGGAAAATTTTTAGTTATATTGAACTGCTTGTTTCGTTCTAAAATCAAATGTACTTACTGAATCCCACACATAGTTTACCAACAGAGTTGGTTAAAAGACTGAAAATTTATTTCATTTTCCTGTAGATCGTGTATGTTACCGCTGTGACATAAACTTTGTCAGGTGTATATAACACACACATTATTTCTTTTATGATATCTCTCATTGATTTGTTAGAAAATCTAACGCATCACCTCGACTTTTCATTTGTAATTATATTTTGATCTAATAGAACAGATGCGATATGTATACCACGTTTCCAGTCATCATTGTGAAAAAGCATGACTTAATCAGTTTGGAGTGTTACTAGGTTGTAGAAGATTCCTTCTAAATAGGTGGCACGTACAAGATTTATTCTAGACTTGCATTTTTATATAGTTTATCGTACTCAATTATAAATTTCAGGCTGAAAAAAATTAAACAGCATGAAGCGTTTTACACTTTAAGTTAAATGGTGATACATATTGAATGAAGTTTACAGGTTAGGAAATTAGCTGATAACTCTAGACTTGCGAATGACTAACTAACTCGAAACCACACGGCGTTTCACACTAGCACTGTGTAGCTGCTGATGAGACCTGGTTATGTGTATATATACAATGGCCTTGGCTGTTTGCAGGCCTTTTTAGGTAGGGATACCCCGTTGATTTAGTCTCTTCAATCAATTTGGTGTTTACGTGAGTGTTTATATGCCTTTTCTCGAGACCTTGAGGCAGACCGTTGGTTGAAAAAGGTTTCAGTGACTCAGGGCTTCTTAAAGAGATCGGAGAAATCTTAATGCACACTATAACAGGTCTCAACATAACAGAAACTGATTACCAAGAACTTTAGGCAACAAGGTTGTAAGCATATTTGTCACATAAAGCTTCATACTTTCCGATAAGCTGTTTAGCATAAATTTATAACATTCATCACTTTTGATAAATTGGTTGGTTGTGGCTAGCAGAAAAACCCTAGACGCGCGTTTCGTCCTGTCTGGGACTCGTCAGCTGGATGTACCTGCACCCCAACGATGTTGTCCCCACTGCGACTCCAACCTCGTACCCACCACTCCATACTCCAAGGCGTTATGCACTACGCCACGGAGGAATGATAGCCGCTTCTTGTTTGACTTCTTATTGACATACTTGTTATTCTCCGTTGTTTTGTTGGATCGAATTGTTCGACCTCTGGATTCTTCTGTTAGCCACAACCAACCAATTCATCATTTTTATCACAAATACTTCATATCTGGATGAAAAAGTCTACAAAATCATGTCCTACTATTGTACCTGCTTAAGAGTTAAGTCCTAATTTTATTTCATAAAAACCAAATATATTGCTATTTATACTTGATTTATCCGATGTATCACACCGTGAAACATTATTATTGACTGGATAGCATTTCGGACCGGACTTATCGTCGACATTCATATCAGGGTGACTCCATAACTTTGAGTCTTGTTTTATAAAAATACGATTCGTGGACCAATCGGAATTATATTCTACTGCGGAATACAGTCCCGAAGTTTTAATTTTATATTGATGCATGACATTACTCAAATGAAACACGAAGGATAGAAAACTTACAATCTGCTTCTGGTCGGATAGTGATTGTAGTTTTTCCATTAACTCGTCAGCTTTCTTTTGTTCAACCTCAGCACCAGTTTTTTTCATGAACAATTCACCTTCTAAAGTATTAGTTTTTTCCGCCAGTTCCTCAAGTTCTTTTGTGCAAACCGAAGAATTCTAAGTTGTTTTGTAATGATAAAAAGGGGTGACAGACATGGTGAGGGATATTTGGCAATTTGGAACATACAGATGGTTGATAGCTATAGCTGTACCGAAAGGTTTCAAACTTCATACCTGAGTAGTAGTATAAGTCCTGCACAACCATACTACATTCGAAATGTTAGCCGAAGACCTTCGGTTTCCATTAAACTCCATGTTGGAATTGTTAATTTGATTTATAACACAGTGATAAAGTATTATTTACTTGATGACGTTTCGAGCATAAAGTATTTCTCATAATCATATCAATGTAACTACACTACTTTCGATTACATTGATATGATAATGAGCAATAATTTATGCTGGAAATGTCATGAGACAAATAATACTATACTACTGGGTTATAAATCAAATTGACAAATCTGATATGGAATTAAATTCTACCTCAATGCCCAAGTTTTACACTTATATTCCATTAAAATCGTTCCACACTCCTATTTATACCCTTCAAACATAACCATTTCTATCCCTCATGTTATTTGCCTATATTTGTATATGCCTAGTGTGTAGGGAACACTTTCTCTTTTTCTTAGTCACATATTGGTTGGTTAAATTTTGAGTACTTTACAGTTAGAAAGAGACAAAATCAACGTAGAAGCTAGCACAGAAGTGCATCAGTTCAAATTGTTACACTTCAAAGTAGCGTGCACAGCAGTACGATTTCGCTCTTGGAACCTCACCATAAATTAGAAATTTACACCATTACGGTAACAACTTTCTGCTTTATCTCTACTCATTAGACTTTTCTAGTATGGTAGGACATCAAGGAATAAGCGTTCCAGCCAGTGTACCACGTTGAATCAAGCTTGACCCTCAAGTCAAGGTAGCAGCTGTCGGTCGGGTTGAGTCCTTGTGTTCTACTTATAGCATACAATAGACCACAGTTCATGTGATGGCCAAATTAGTGAAGGTATCAGCGAACGGGTGTTACTCAACCATTCTTCTGTATGACTTCAAAATGTACTGGGAAATTAAATAAAAATTTGTCATTCTGTGACATAGTCATTGTAAACAGAAGACATGAAGACGTTGTAGGCATAGGATCGAAGTTATCTTAAAAGCATTACTCCTATTCGGTAGGACAACTGACAACCGACTTGAGATTTACTCAAAAGTAGTAAATCAGTCGGTAGTGTCGTGAAATCCAAAAGACGACCAGACCTCGAACATACACTGAACGTTCCAAATCATCTACTATGTGAGCATATTTGTAAGGAAATTCAAGCAATAAAGCACTAGAAGAGAAGAGACAAACTTCTAATTTGCTTGTTCTGTATGTTTTTTTACTACATGTGACTGAGTTAAGCCAGACAATTAGGAGCAACGCCTAAGTATTTTCCTCAATTCCCCTTGAAAAATCAGGAAGCATAGCTATTTTTTCCGTTAACTGTAAACAAATGAATCTGTAAAGTAATTCAGTTTTATTCAGTCTAGTACTACTATGATCATTATTCCTCTTTACTTTTCTATCTTCAATGTCACAATGAAAAGATAGATAAATTACTGCTAGAGCAGAAAACACTGTGGATTTACTCCTTGAAGAACGTACCTGACTGAAGATAAATCATGCGTAGTAGGTAAATCAACATAGAGACAGATATCGAAGCTTTGAAAGATTTCTCATTATTTAACGCGAAAAGGTGAGTAGAAAGATAGAGATATATGGATCATCATAAAACCCTTCACTTAAAGTGCAACAGTTCGATTCCCATTTCCGTCTGATGTTGTCAATCAGACCAGTCAGTAATTCCGCTATCAGGAGCTGAAATGATTTGTTTAAAGTCTAATTATTACCCTGACTTTAGCTGACTTAGTAACCGACGTAAATCCAGTACATTACACGAAAAAGAACTAAGATGAATTTGCACTGAACTATGGTTTCAGACTTTCGTAATTGCAGTTGCATGAGCACACTTTGCAGCCCAAACAGACAACACTATGAAGTACTAATACATTTAACTCTTCTGAAAAGAAGTCAGGTTCGTTCTAGCTTGAGTATATGTGAAAAAGTTTTACATCTCTATTTCGTAGTAATAGATAAATCATAAATACGCTACTTTTATTATCAAAATGACGACCTTTATGAGCCTTTACATAAACGCATTACAGTCTTGATAAAAAAGCCTATTCTTACTATCAGTGGCATTAATTAAAGTTGTCCAATAGTTATGAGACGGAATTCATTAGAAAAGTTCATCAGTCCACTTTTCCAGACCGGGCAGCAGCACAAAAAGAAAAAAAAATCAACCAAAATGGAAAGATAATAGGGAAATAAGTCATGATTTTGCGTCAAAAAAGTGGAGTATTGAATTGCTTGGGATATTAAGAAAATAACAAATAAGTACATATGTCGTTTTGCAGGTCATGGAGCTGTTAAAGCTGGAATATCCAATGTCTAATTTCTAGGGTTTGCAATAAAATAGTCACGTGAAATACACCTGAGAGCGTAACATAAAATACGAACTTTTGGAGAAAAACTTTGTAAGTAAAATTGGACTACAGAACCGTTCCTATGGAAAATGAAAAAATCACCATGTTCTAATGAATAAAAGGTTATTCCGCACTATACTTATAACGGCTTTTATTTGTAGCATGCTATGTCAGTTAAATATGGCTTAAACGCACGCAACTCCAGGAAAGTTCACATATGCTCTTAGTCAGATAAGCTGAATATAAGTAGATGACAAGAATAATGATGATATCTGCAACCTCAGTAGTGAATAACTTGATGGAAATAAAACCACGTCGCATTTTACTTGAAGTCATAATTTTACCCTTTCGGTAAATGGTGAAGGGAAAGAAATTTAACTCTACCGTTTTTTGTTAGCAGATACTTGTTTTACTTATGCTTTTCATTTCAGGCTGTTTATTCCTGACTGAATATTATGTTGGAAGCAGATAAGAAGCGTAGAGTCATATTGAGGGTATGCATTAATTGGAAGTTGACAGTTCTTCAGTAGAACAAAATACTCGTCTCCAATTTGTTAGTAGTCATGGCTACATAGCATCTTATCAATAAACCCCAGAAAAATCTCTGGTCTCTGGGTATTTATGTAACTATTTAAACTGTATACACCAAGTATCTAGTAGAACTGACTTAAGAAAAAATGTAGAATCAAGTGAAACTTTTGAACTTTAGATTCTTTCATGAATACAAACGATATTTCGAACTGCGTACTTGTCTGATAAATTTCAACTTTCGTTTGAGTTCATCGATATGACGCTGAGCTGTAATACGCATTTGCGTTTCATCTTTTCTCGCTTGAAGAACATCAGACTGATTGAATATAATATCGCGCCTTTTTATCAGAAAAGTAAATAAATAGGAAGTTTCGATTTAGTTAGTTAAATAACTAAATAAAACAATATTTGGTACTAAAATAAATTTACTCATTTGTTGTCATTAAAGACTAATTCATAAATTCTTGAGCTTTTTGATATTCGTCATTTCGAAATATGTATCTTGTTAGATTAATGGCAGATTGAGTTTCAAATTATAAATCTAACTGGCCAAAAAACTACCGAATTTCGGATAATAATGCTAAATAAACAATAACAGTTCATGTCAGTCTCACTGCAGTAAACTAAGAGATAAAGGCTGAAAAATGCTCAGAAAGTCAAAACTTAATATGAGCATGAAAAATGAGTTTTCTCGTAAACATCGTGCCGTAAATGATAAATCCCCTCACATGATCACATCCATGTCACCCTCGCCTCGGACGCCCAACTCGTCGTTTCCCCATTGGATTCCACTCAAGTGCCTGGCACATGATGTCCCCAGCCGGCCTTCTCAGTGTATGCCCAGTCCATCTCCACTTTCTTCTGCATATTTTTTGCGTGATAGGTTCTTGGTTGGTTAGTTCCCAGAGTTCCTCCTTGCTTATTCTTTCTGGCCACCTGAGCTTCAGTAACGAGCGTAGGCGGCAGCTCTTGATGTATGTCTGTAGTTTGTTGGAAATGCTCTTCGTGACATGCCAAGTTTCTGGACCATCACATAGAATCACTGACTTGATATTGCTGTTGAAAATCCGGATCTTGTTCACGCTTTATGCTGAGTGCAGTAGATCTACACACTGATTTCAGATTAGTGAAAGCCTGCCCTGCTTCTCCGATCCTGGTTTTGACGTCCTCGTCTATGCCGCCTGCACTTGAAACGATGCTGCCTAGATAAGTGAAAGAGGCTACTTCCTTTAGGTTTCCCCCATTAATGGTGATTGGTGACTCTTGTTGTTGATGCTGTTGTTCGTTAGGTATCTTCATCACCTCCGTCTTCTCTACATTCACCTGAAGGAAGTCCTGTCTGTCTTCCCTGGCCTACCGACTTGTTAGTTTTTGCCTACAGATCTTCGAGTTTGTGCGACATTAGACATAAATCATCATCGGCGAAATCCAAGTCCTCCAGTGTCTTTTCATCGGTCCAGCCAGCGTATTCCCCTATTCTCGCTCCCCACCGTTTGCTGCATGATCCAGTGTCTAGTAGACCACGATCGGGAACATCATCGGTGATAGTAGGCAGCAACCTTGTCTTACTTCTGTCTTCACTTCAAAGGCGTCACTCAGCATTTCATTGTGGATCACTTGGCATGTGGCATCATCTCGTCATATAGTTGTTGAATGAGATTGATAAAGGTTTGTCCCACTTAAACCGTAGTGTAGAAGCAGCTGCCAAATTACTTCTCGGTCGACACTGTCGAAGGCATTTTCAAGGTCGATAAAGTTGAGATAGAGATTTGGCTGCCATTCTACTCTCTGTTCTATGATGATGCGTAGCGTTGCAATTCGGTCCACACATGATTTGTTCTTCCTGAAGCCAGCCAGCCAGCCAGTCAGCCAGCCTGTCCCGGTTGTAATTTTGAATGCAGAACATTTGTAGCCTCTCCAGGATGACTCAGCCTAATATTTTGCTTGGTGTGAACAGCAGCATGATTCCGCGCCAGTTCTTGCAAAGACTTGAGCCTCTCTTCTTTGGAATATTGACAACGTAGCCCTTCTTCCAATCAACCGGCAGGTTCCTTTTCTTCCTTCCATGCAAACCTTCTGCAGTAGTGGTGTCAGCATGTCCGCTGCTGATGTCTTTGTGCCTGTCTTCAGTGCTTCTGGAGGAATTCCATATGGTCCTGCTGCTTTCCCGGGTTTCAGCAGTGTTATGGTGTTCAGGACTTCGGCTTTTGTCGGAGGGCCTGTGTTCACTGGTAGTTCAGTGACCGGGCTGCTGGTGGTATTTCTGGACGAGTTGCAGGTGGTGTTGGTGATGGTCGATTCGAGAGTTTTTTGAAGTCGTCAACTCATTGTTTCCTTTGTTTCTCCTCTTTGGTGGTACCTTAGTTTCCTTCACTATCTTTCATTGATTTCATCTGCATTGATCTCTTCCCAGGAAGTCACCTGGTTATTTGAAATAGTGTTGTCAGATCTCTCCTACCAGCATCCTGTTCTGCTTCTCTCGCCAGTATGTCATAGAAGTGTCTTTTGTCTTTCCGCACACTCTTCTTCACTTCTTTGTACAGTGTTTTATATGCTGTACTCAGTTCCTCTTTTCAGTGTTCATCCCTGCATTGTATTGGTTCATCTTCGGCTTCACCATATTCCTCTCCCTACACTATCAGCTTCCATGTGTCCATCGAGATCCACTCCTTGTCTTGTTTCTTCTTCCTTCCTAACACGGTTATGCAGGTTTCTTTCCACGTCACTTTCACACAGTTCCAGTGTTCTTCCACGCAGGTTTACTTGGGGGTGTTGCTTAATGTCTCCCATTTTGTCCTGATGACTGACGTGAATATGTTCTTTGAAGTTTCGTCCTTCAGTTCCTGTTCTGGGTGTTGAACTTGGACTGCGATCGTCTATCACCAGCTTGCTTGAAGGCTTTCAACCTGATTTGTGAGGTTCCTTGCACTAGATGGTGAGTGGTGTGAACCTACATCTACCCCTCCTCTTGATCTTGTTTCCAGTAGTCTGCGTCTCCACTTTCTTGAGACTGAAATAAGAACTAATACACGATGTTCAAGAGATGACGTTCCGAACTCATTGACCTGGCGGATAAGGTTCTGACGTCCAATGCAATGATCATAACTGACCTCCATAGGTAGGTAAAATATTACTCAGTTTTCTGCGTGTAGGTCTAGCTGACGAGAACAAAGTTGTATGGTACGCATACCCTCTATTCCACTGTTAGTCACAACCAAGTGAATCATAGCAAAAATTGTTCAGGTGACATTAACGTATATGGTGGGTGGTGTGAACCTACATCTACTCCTCTTCTTGGTCTTGTTTCCAGTAGTCTGTCTCCACTTTCTTCACATTGAGATGAAGTCGATCTGATTTCTAGTGCATCCTGGTGTGTGATGAAATCCATATCACTTTGTGAATATCCTTGTGTTTGTACACACTGCCTCACCTCCAATCAACAAATCGTTGAATGCTCAGATGTCTGCAAACAGTTCTCCATTCTCACTCACCATTTCACACAGACCTTCTCGACTCATGATGAGCTCTCTTCCTGTGTTGTCTGCTCCCAGTTTGGCATTCATGTCATCCACCAATTAGAATTTTGATGTTGCCATCTGTTGTGGGGTCTTGTGCATTGCTGATTGCTGTTGTCTGCAGAATCTCTCCTTCTTCTCTTCATCTGCATTATTTGTAGGTGCGTAGCGTAGCATTGTATGATTTTGACTTTCCTTCCTTTTGAGTTCAATTTTGCTGTCATGATGCTACGGGAGGGGATTGGTTGTCACTGCAAGAGGGTCTTCGATGCTCTTGGGGACATCATGAAAGCTACTCCAACAGTCGGTGTCCTCGTGGTTGTCGTCTGGGTGACTATGTCGGAGTAGATTATTGACTCTCTAGTTGACAGTTTGGAGAGTTCACTTCCATTCCATCTAGTTTTGCAGATTCCTAGCACTTCTCTTTGGCAACCTGGGCAGCCTTAACTAATACGTGAGACCATAGAAATGAGTCTGTTACTACTAGATAAAGTAGTTTTAAATAGTTATTCTAGTTAAAAGTGTATTTTATAGGCTCACTTTAGTATAGAACGTTCTAATGCTTGTATAAGTCTTTCTTGTTTCTGTAGTAATGATGATTTGAGAGTTTCCATACGGTGAATTTCATGACGCATAACACTGATTTCACCTTGACCTGTATTACAGTCAACTGATTTTTTAGTTTCTTCACATAATTGAACCTTTTTCTCCCACAGCATAATTGTTCGTCTAGGTAAGTAAGAATTACAGAAAAATTAATTTCAATTTTATTGTTAAAACAAATGAACGATTAATGTTATACCCATAAGGTAACTGTTAAAAATAAGAAATTTAAGATATATTGGGTAGAAACTCTAATAACTGAAAGCGAATAACGAACGGAAGTTGAAACAGTAAGTAGTAAACGAAAGGAGAGAAACTTCAGGTCTACGTTCATTGGCTGTAAAATTGTAACATAAAACTTAGTCACTATTCCCATTTCGCCTGTGATATGCGTTGCTGATTAGTGTCAATAGGCACTAAACCTAGGTTGAAAGTTTCCTACTGATGGCTTTTAACTATCTTACATCAATCAAATCGCACTGTGATGCTGAGTATCCTAGCTAGGTGATCACATTACGAAATGGTTGATAGAACTTGATTGGCACTTAGGAATGTATGACAAAGAGCCGGTTGCTGTTCACTGGTCAACCAATACTTCAAATTCCTTATGAAAAGTAGATTTGTTGATTCCTCAGCCGAATATATTCTATGGTAGCGTTTGAATCAACCACGTTGAAACCGCGACGGATTAAGATATAAACTGTATGGAGAGAAATTTGTTTTGTCAGACATTTTGGCGAATCATATTATAATTAAATGGAAAGGAAAGTCACTATTCTATTCACTATTCTAAACAGTCAGTAGACATTACTTGGTATTTAGGCTTCTAAAGGGAGATATAAAATTTTCTACTGTGTTTTGACAGTCTTTCATGTTGAGGTATAGAAAAATGTCAAATTGTTTTAGGTTCGTAAATTCTTTTAGAAAGTAAGATGACGTTTATAAATCAACTGGTTTAAGAAAGCAATCATTTCTTATAATGTTGTATCAGAACATTTTCAATAATTTATCTAGAAGTCAGAGTACAGTTAAAACGATAACGTAAAGACGCTAGCTGTTAATCCATTTTGAAAGTTTTCAAGAATACAAAACAACATAGTGACCTAGCTGGTCTTTAACCTATTCCGTTTCAGATGAGAGAAACATCTAATAAACTGAAGTTTCCATTTTACTTCCTATCATTGCTGAGTTCTTAATAAACTTGAGCCGTAATTTTCACTAATCTTAAATTGTTGTGTATTAAATTTCATAGTTTAAGTCAGCAGTAGATAATTGAAGGTGAACATGACGATAGGGTGTTCTAAAAAGTAAACATGCGGAAAGTGAATATTTTCTGTTATTATCTGTGTGAAGTTTCTGACTTAACTTCCAATTAAAATGTAATGGTCTGTGTATCATTCAAAACTCGTAGTCTCATGAATCATTTAGAATAGACAGCGAAATAAAACGAAAAATTGTTCCACAGTAGGATTCGAAAAATGGTATGCATGTCACCGATACGGCGCAAAAACCCTATCATACACGATAATGTTACTAACAAATTTTAAACCGAAATCTCCCTAAAAACTACCAGCAAAAACAGATGAATTTACTAGCAATGAAAATAGGAAATTTGTTCGAGAAACATTCTCAGGAAGCATATGAATATCGAAAATTCGAGAACTAAAAGACAAATACTGAATACGCAGAGTGAATAAAAATAAAACAAATAACAAAAATAGGCGACTGAAAGGATGTATCTTAAGAAAATCCCCAAAGGTGATGCGAGTGTGCACTGCTTAGCACTTCCATACTACGATGAAACAGTTGGCCAGTCCTCCCAGGGTTTCAGTGGTTCTCCAGCTGATGCCAGTATGTGATGAAGGCAACCTTGAATTCACTGCTGCAAACTAAAACTGGTACATTTTCAGCGATTATAATCTGAGTTCATTGAATCATTTCACATCTAGTACATTCTATAAAGCTTAAAATTTCCAGATCTTTTGTGGCTATGATTTTTATCTTATCGATTGTATATTCATTCACTTGTATACTTGAGAGAAACAGTATTTGCGGCAATTGATTTTTCATCACTTAACTCTTGAAATCTCGGCTTTTTATTTCTGACAACAGTGTACACATGAAACGATTTTCATAGCTACTGTGAAAGATAAGATAAAAAATGTTTATTTGGTCTCTGATCGAATGGTGTCTCCCTAACATTTATGACTCCGTATTACATCCGTAAATAGTGCTGTATAGTCGATGCATTTCGAAATCACCTTTTACTTTAGGTTAGCAGATGACCTAACTTACCAAATAAAACCCAAATCCTTGGTGTTTACTTTAGAAAGACAGATAGATGAACCTACTTACGGCGCAAAACTGCATCACTTCTTAGCAGTGTGCAATGGAAGGGTAAACGAAAAGTGAATGACATAAATATTGTTAAAGGTATAACAGATAAGACTGCATAAGTTGGCTGAGTTTTATCAAAATGTTCAAAACTTTGGTGATGACAAAAGTGTATACATCTGCACCAATGTGAAAATTCAGGAACGAAGCGAAGGTTGGGGTTAGTGAAATGGTTAACGTGCTCAAATATTTCATAGATATGGAAAAGTAATCATTTTAAGATATCCCTGGAAATCCAAGTTTCTCCTCGATGGAACAGCTAGTGAAAGACTGAATAATGGATAACTTTATGTTCACCTGCCTTTTTCAGTGGTAAGTTATGGGGAAAAACAAAAGTGGTCAGGAAAATTCAATAACTCAATTCATTATGTTGACCATATATATATACTACTTAAGCATTGGTGAACTGAGCTGAATAGCTTCTCATTAAGGGCTATGATACAGAATAATATGCAACTTATAAGGATAACACCCCAAAAACCAAAAGTTTGGAAAAGTGAAAGTGCGTAGGTGAAGTTAATTGTTGAAATAACAGGCTTTTGCACCTATGCATATATCAGAGAAAATTTACACCACGTTCCCCATTCTTAACTTGACAAAAAATGGATTTTGACCAACTTAAGTGAAAGCAATATATGCTTAGTCTGTTTATTATCCAGTATCGTTTACTGGATAACGTTTAGGATATAATTTATTGTCTTTATTCATATCATGTCATATTAAGGAATTGTCTCACTATGTGACATTTCTAATAAACAGACTAAGATGAAATTACAATCTACTACAGTGTCCAAGTTTTACTCTCACATATGCTTGGACCCTTGAAATATGCCAACATGAAAAAAAGTGCTAGTTTTCCTTACCATCATCTCTAACTCAACTTTTTATCCTGAGTGAGTCAAAAATTGGTTGAGGATAATCCTAATTTTGATTCAGTAAGACAGTAAATTGATTTATCAAACCAATGACTGTTAGTCTGAGTAGCCTGGTAACAGTATTAGCCTGCCAACTGTACACACTGGTATTAATGAAGATATTATTGAAATATATCTTTTGCTGTAAGTGCTTGATGTCTTACCATTCCATCAATATATCTTATATCATTCCTTCTCAACTTAATCTTATTGATTTCGTTGCTACACATTTTGAAAATATAGTGACAATAATCTATGAACTACTGTGTTTGGCTCCATCTCATCTGCTTGTCATCATAGACAGTTTCAGTATGATGAATGATAGTTAGTTCCAACTTGATAAATGAAATGGCCTCAGGCTAGAGCCCAGACAATGAACAAAATTGAAGATGATTTTCATTAATTTGACAAGCCAAACAGAGTCAACCTAACGACGACCAACTGATCTGAAGATTGGGTTGTGACATGTGAATTTTAAGTTGAATTGCGGCTGCCTGTTCAAATCTTGTGGAGACTTAGTTCTTCCCACAGCTTCAGGTATTATCACATTACATTTTATTTTTGGTTAACTTACTCTACTTCAACTAATTCATTCAGTAAATCTTCCTTATCTTTCAACACGTGATCACCTTTTCTTGTAGATTAGCTGCTTCAGTTTCTTTTTCTTTCAGTGAACGCGCGAAATCGATTTCACTCAATTTATTTTCATTGTTTAGGCTTTCTTCATTCGTCTTCTCATTAGCTATCATGGTGTTCATTCTGGTGATATCATTTTGTAAATGTCTTAACTCCTTTTCTAAATCATTCTTTTCACGTTCTTGAATAGTTATCTCGTCTATCAAGAGAATATTATAGATAATGTGATGATAATGTTCATAATCACTAAAAAAAATGGCTAAAACCTTTCATGAAAATGTTAAGACATTAAAGCCTAGTAATTTTGATCAGTCATGAATAAAACAGAAAATTCATGTTGAGTAGTAAGCGTATACGAACAATCATTCCACGGGTAAATGAAGTATTTCTCCAAAATATGATAATCACTGCGAATTTAAATACTGAATATCCTTACTTACGCTTGTAATTTCCTGTTGATTGTTATACTGCGACAAGCTGATTAGTCTCTGTTGGGATATAGACTTCTTGAACGGATACCTCGATATTGCTTCAAGTTTCCTTATGACGTTATTTACTCGGTGGAAGTTAGCAGCAAAATCCACAACACACGTTTCTTCTTATAATAACCAACAGAAAATTACAAGTAATAATATTAGAAAAATATGATAGCTAAGACTCAAGCGGTGGCTATCGTGACTGTGTGTTAACCTAAGAGAAAAAGTCTCAGTGTTTCTAAGTGATTGGTATTGGAGTTGAATCCCGTGGGGAAAGCCATTATTCACTAGATTGCAGGCACATCCGATTGACGAATCCAGATAGGACAAAACGCGCATCCTGGATCCCAATGACAGCCATCCCAAGGCAAATAATAATGAAAATCATATCTGAATTTTGTGTATAGGGAAGACATTCATGTGTTCACTTCTCAGTGATGATAAGAGATTTTTATTCTCATTCTGTTTAATCTCTTTCTAATATTGATAGACGAACGCATAAACTTAGTGATCAATATTTCAACTGTTCCATCTGTGCGTGAATGGAATGATATTTGAATACACAATAAAACCTTAATTAGGAAGTGATTGTAACAGTCTTACTAGTGTTCCAGAGGATATCTTTTCCAATTTCTTAGTATTTCAGTGAATTTCGGTTACAGGGTGCAGTATTCTCATCCAAATCCTTTAAGGAAGCCGAAAGTCTCCTGAAAAAAATATTCTTAGCAGATAATCGCACAAGTCTACGTGATAGCACTTGTGAATGTCAAGTTGGTTGATGAGACTAAATGTGTAAGAAATAGCCTTCTAGAAACGTATAGAAACAACCAACTTTTATAGTTCATTTTGTGAATTAACACCGTAGGTTACGTCATTTTACCACTTTTCTCTTTTAGAGAAACCAGGTGACCGTTGAGGCTGTAATATGACGGTTGATCAAAAGTCCACAATTGTTTAAGATAATCACGTTGTGTCAGTTGCCTTGACGACAAAACATCTATGAAAAAGGTAGTCCTGCATAGTAGAAATTTGAGTAACATTAAGCGTTAAAAATTGGTGATGGAAGGAATATAGAATATGTGGCAAAGTGAGCTAACCATCCTATGTGGGATTTTGTCCAACTATTCGTGACTTATCACCTTCACTGTTGGAAGCTGTAGTCATATAGCAATAGGTAATGGATACCTAATATGTTCCATTCCATTCTTAGTATTCGGGCTGTAAGAGGAAACCATAGTGTGCGGCCATAGTCAGCTTCAAGGCTAAAGAATGTAAATTAAACATGCTGCCGACCTCCATAAACCTGCTTTTGTCAAACGTCATCAGCTTGACAGGGCAAATCCTTTCAGAGAAGATAATTTACAAAAGCTGAAGAGGATAATTAGCTCATTAATTGACTAAGTTTATTTTTACAAACAGTTGTAATGCGGATAAAATCACGTACCGCCAGAAAATGAGAACGAATGTGAGAATTTCGAATAAACCTACGGTACGAAAACTCAAAAGCGCAGAGAAGTAGATTATCTGTGCCAAGCACCAAGCGAAAAATGTATATTTTCTTAACAGAAAAAGCAAATAGTTGGAGAAAAGATCGTTGGTTAGTAGACAGCTAATCACTTTGTAACTGTTTGATTAAGCTTAGCACGAATGTACTTTCTAAGAATAAGAAGAACGTTTATAAAAATCTCATCAGACAATCATTTGACATACTACACTACTTGACAACTTTATATGATGAGTAAATCACTGTCGTTAATGACTATGATGACTTTTACTTGAAAGCGGTGAAGATAAATCAAGCCCATTGAATTCATCATTTTGGTAGTTGCATTTACCAATGAATGTGCAACAAATTCTTTGTTTCTCATTATATTTTACATTGATAATTACAAAAAATAAAAAAATGAATACCACTTATCCATTGCCCAAATTTCTCAAATCATCAAATCTCGCCATATCCATCCTAATTTATCATGGTGACATGAAGGAAGAAAGCTCTGAGTTTTAAAAAGTTTAAATAGTTGGTAAAACTATTGTTTTATAATATTTTGGTTGCTGGTTGCGTAATTACACTTTCTAGTGACATGGTTGGTCTAAACATCCTGATAATTATCTTGACAAGAAAATGACTTGAATACTCTCATAGAACTTTAGAGCCTCACTTAAAAGGAGGTTAAAAAAGAATGTATACATTATATTTGTAGTAAAGGGCGATTACTCTACTTGGTGATCGACATGAAGAGTGAAAATGCTATTTCTTGAATCGAAACCTAGTGGTTTGAGAGAAGCATATCGTTCTACGAGTAACCTAGACGGTACCAAGCACATAAAATGCTGAAAAATTCGAAAACACAGTAAAGTAGTCATCCAATGTAATGGTGTTTACAACAGCCTTCAATTGACAAAATATTGTTTTCATATCAGTTGGTGGTTTCATATATTGATTGATCTTGAAGTAGTGGTAATTATCTGTTGATATCAGTTGAAGAACCATTCAAAACCCTTGAGTATCAATGAGCTGTTTCGTTTTAGTTTAAAACTCCTCAGAAGTGCATACTGATAGTCCTCATGGAGGATCAAGTCCAGGACCGGCAGTTCTTGAAGAGATCACGTTACCATCTAGTCACTTATTCGGAACTCAATGGTCCGAATTTTAGTATTTCTGTAAATTCGAAAAACAGTGTACATATCTACTGTATCATTACTTGTAGAAACTCATTCTTGACAAAAACAAATATTCGTATTATTGGATTATAATATTAAAAAAACTTACTGTCAACACGTAATTTTTTCTGTGTTAATATTGACAACTGTTTACTTATTCTCGTCACAGATTCCGCTAGCTTATCACGTTCATTTATATTCATTACTAATTCATTTTGTTCTTTCAACCACTGTTGTTCAAGTACACCAATCTCATCTTGTTTTGCTGCAACTGCTTTATTCATATTACTTATTTGTGCATCCAATGGTCCAACTTCTTGACCCTTTAATTAAAACAGAATATTTAATTATTAGGTTAGCTTTGCGAACTGGTTTACTATACTTATCCGTAGACCAATCTAAATGCTTTTGAAAATGACTAAATGACATTTAATTTGAAAATGGTATTTGAAAGCTATATAAAATATCTAACTATTTACGTTGTAATGCCGGAGGTACTGAAATTACAACCACTCTGGGTAATTAAAAATATTTATTGTACGTAAGTTAATAGAATGAACAAAACTGATAAATACCGACAAATATGATCACATTCTTCTTTACGAGAAGAAAGTAAGATGTGTATCTGGGCTTATCAAGTGTGCTTGATTTATTGATACAGAGACGTGAATTATTCTCAGGATGTCATACATTTAGTCCCCTTGACAAATCTGAACAGCGTAAGAATAAAGACATTTGCAGAATAAAATGAGCTCACTTAATCTCACGGCCTTTCATCAACTGCAAACAGCCTACAACTGAAACGAAGTATTGGTGGTCATAATGACATAACATACTTTTAATATGTAGAAGTAAATGAAGATTTGAAACCCAGGATTAACAATAAGCTAATAAGTCAAGGAAACACAGGATAAATAATCACAAATCTCAGACAAAATTAGTGGCAATTTATATTTGATAGAAAATTCTTGAGCTATGGACAAAGGATCAGACAACAAACAACAGGAGCGTAAAAGAAGGGGTTGTTAAAGGGCTGGTAGGTTACGTAATTACGTGAAAAAAAGAAAGTTGTTTGGTGATTAACAGTCAGCAAGTAATTATGAAGAGATGATTTAGTCAGAAAAAAGAAGACTATATACATACATATGCAAAACTTATGGACAGTTGTCAAGGTAAAGAAAGGTTAATTACAGTCTCTTTCTGAGTATATAAGTCAGATTTAAAATGTTTGATGACGAGAGCTTCCGCAAACCCTAATAAACATGTTATTCTTTGTTTTTTTATTATCCCGAAGGATTGAGAAACCTATGTTTGATATCCAGTTTCCCTCAGGTGCCTGACGATTTTTCTGGTACAGACAATGCTACCTGTCAGATACAGATTCCTTAGAATATGCCCATAAAATCGAGTAGACACCCTTATTTCGGTCCGTACTATGTACTTGCTTTCACAAGCACAGGTGAATTGGTATTCACAGTTGGAGGTAACGTGAGATGGTTATTCGTCCACTTTTGACTGTTATTGAGCAAACTGTGTTGTAAACTTAGATCAGTCTGGCAGCAGCGAAGCTCCTTCTCATCGGCTTTTTTATTCCTTTGCCCATTCTTTCAGATGTCTCATCACTTTTGAATGCTAGATAAAGGAAACAGGCTTCTTCTCCAAAGCTGGATGTTTTGATCTCTCAATAAATACTTTTCCACGCTTCTTGATGAGGTTCTTCGGATACCCATTCTCGATAAGATCCTTTCAATCTTAACGAATGCTTCTTTTTGTTTATTTTTTGGGCACAGAGTTTTTATTCCAGGGAAGATGGTCCTGACTAAACCATGCTTATGGCTGACAAGACAGAAAGTATCGTAGCGAAGGTACTGAATAATCAACGTGTCTTTCTTGTGGATATTTTTCTCAACGGTACCATTACTTCTCTGTCTTATACTCCGATCTAAAAAATTGAATTTATCCTCATTTTCGTATTCCATTGTAAAATTCATATTTGGATAAGTTAAGTTGAAGGTATCGAAAAACTTTGACTCATGATTCATATTATCATAAACAATCAAAGTATCATCGACATACCTGCAGTAATATTTTGTTTCCTTGATCGCAGGATTCAGACATATTCGTTTAAGATGAGCTATGAATATGCAGCTAGGATAGGTGTGGTGGTGAACCCATAGCCACTCCATTAGTTTGAAAGCATAGTTGATTATTAAACTGGAACTGAACAACTTTCGTACAGAGGAGCAGTAATTGTTTGAATTCTATTTTCGGGAATGGAAGTAGATCAGACTGTTGACAGATTACATATATCGTTTCATCCGCTGGTATGTTCGTAAATAATCAGAAAACATCAAGAAATACCATGAGTTTATTTGAGAACTGGAATGTATCCTTCAAGTTGCGATTTGCGAACATTTTTCTGATAGGTTCCAATTTCTTTGCTAACGAACGAACCAATTTCTGACAAGGTGAATTTATCATGAATTAAATATGTCCCAAAGAACTCTGGACCTATGGATATTCAGAAGATCGTACATGAACCTCTTTGTTTAAGTTCATTATAGGTTGCCCTATTAATCAAATGTTTCTTCGAAAGTTCCCTAAGGTGCTTGTTTACTTTTTCCAAGTTGAAAATGTCGTATCCTTCTCGGAACTGATAACTTTAAATCTCGACGAATCGCCCAAAATCATCAGCATTTTATGCAAGCAGTCGTTTTTATTCTTCATGACGACACCAGACCCCTTTTCAGCTCTAGTTATAACGACTTCTTCATTCTTGTGCAGCTTTTTCATCGCCAATAGATGCCCCTTAGTCAGGATCTTTGTTGATTTGGCGAAATACAAAACTGAATGGTAATATCGAAAAGCTTAGATTTAAACTAGCTTTTATTCTCATCTATAGGCTTCAAATCATGAAGTTATTGGTACAAATTTTCAAATTGCGTTTCTTTATCAATTCGATTAACGCGTTCGTATGGGACATGAAATTTAAATCCAACAGATAGAGCTTCAGTTTCCATCTTATTTAGTGTGATATTGGAGAGATTGCATATATACTTCTTTGGATTTTCAGGAAATCCTTCATGTACTTTCCTCGTAACCAGGGATTCTATGAGTTTATTCTCACAGCTTCTAGATATCTTCGACCGTAGGTCATGGGTAAAATTATTGAATTTGTTGCGACAAAAAATATTCAAGTCATCGAGAAGGCTATCAAACACAGGTAGCTGAGATTTCAATGTCGAGATGTTTTTATCTGACGTTTCGTGATGTGATTCTGTTATCCGACGTAAATTTTCCTGAGCATCTTTATTCTGCAAATATCTTTCTTCTTGCAATGTTAACATATCTTCAAGATGTTATTTTGCCACAAACTGATATCATCTAACAAACCAGTAAAAGTAATGAGGCATCCAACAAGTATTCTGACCTCATTTACTACCTCAAAGTTGTACACAATGTCGACTCGTACAACGTACGTTATTCTAAAGTAACTGCATCAAAGCTGTAGTGTAAAAAATGTGCAACTTAAGTCTTTTCTTTCCAATACTTTTGCACTTCTGTCACTATCTTACAAGTACTTCTACTGGTTTATTTGTATTGATCTGACCAACAGTCCGTAATTCAACAACAAGTGATTTTAAAGTAAGCTCCTGTATATTTACAGTAAATCTATAAATGCGTACATGCATCTGTCATATTGCAGAACGCCGAAGCTGTACAGTGAATTCAGTGGAATTACAAAATTCTGAACACGGAATTCCTATTCAGTCACTTATTTTGAAAAAAGCACTAGTCGTTTGAAACACAAAACGCTTGTGGTTAATTATAGGGTGGGTCAGAGATTGGTAATACTAATGTATGGTAAACTATAGATGTGCGATTGTTAACATTTTCACTCTTTCAGAGCTTTCAAGCAAATAATCGCTGAGCAAGCAGATAAAAAAGAATATGTCAGTTTAATCTGACTTTTGTTAGTAGTTGTAGCGATGACAGTTTGAGATGAATCAATGCTTAAAAATTGATACATGAAAATAGACATTCCTCTGGGTATATAACTGCGTGTTATCCAACAATGACAAAAACTTCAACCAACAAATGTCGACGCAATATTCCATATTCGTTTGCAGTATCACTAAGTGACAGCCAGACAATATGACTCTTCTTGTGCATCGCTGACTTCATAAAATATCTTAAATTCATTGTGTACTATTAAAATAAAAAGGAAAAAATATATTGAACGTTATAAAATCACTACAGTTTACTTTATAACAATCAAACACTTACACCAGACTCACGAATCGAACGTTCCAATTTCTTATTCAGTATATCAATATTACCTTGTTTACGTTCTACGGATATATTGGCATGGTGTATTTCACTCTCTAGCTTCGTAATTAATAAATTAGTATTATCAATTTCTTCCTCTAATTCATGAACTCTTTCATGTAGTTGAATATTGGTGGCTTTCTTATGCGCTAAACCTAATTCATCTTTAGCGATTTGATTTTCCATTTGTACAATCTGTTAATTAAAAATATTATCAATAGTTGTACAAAAAAGAGATAATGTTATAAGGCTACACGAAATGAATGCAGTACTGCAGTGACCATGTTTCACATTGAATTTTCATTCATTTCGAGGCCTATATAATAATTTTAATTTGTTTTTCACAAGAATGATCACTACTAGTCTGTATTGTCAAAAGACGTTAACTTTGACTGAGGATGCTAAAGTGTAAACCTATTTTCAATATACAATGAATTTCTGACGTATAATAAGAACTTCTGAATTTTAACAGATAAACATTAGCTGAGATTTATAGATTTGAATCTGATTTAAGAATAAGGATAATTCTGTATGATCTGCAAAGGTTTTTTTCACTAACAATATGTGTCAAAGTTACTTTTAGAGAATAACAAAACCTAGAATTACTAGAAAACAGTCTTAGATTTGGCTGTTATATCTAACGTTTGTTAGAGTATCGGCTTTTAATTATAAACATAGTGAATCCAGAATGCAGTCAGTCATTGTTCAAAAGGTGTCGTTTACTTATCATCACTTTTATCTCTGTGTGGCTAAAAATGTTCAATATGCCTTCTTAGATTACTCATCAGCCTTTGACTCTGTCCCCAAACCATACTATTTAAATAAGCCTGTCATAGTTCATACTGAGCCATAAGTTAAAAAGTGGCTGTATTCTTATTTTTTTTAAAGGTGTTCCACTTCACTGCTTACTGAAGCCGGTGTGCTTCAAGATGCATGATTTACCTTACACTATTGAAACTAATTTTATTAAGTGTGCTGATGACATGATGGCTCCTATGCCAGTTGACTCTCACTTAGATTTCTCTGCATTAAGTGGTTTCGTATCTTAAATTGGCCAGTAGTCTCTCTGAAATAGCCTCAAGCTAAAACCTTCAAAATGTCAGACTGTTAATTATAGCCTCCAGCGTAAAGAAGACTTATGTGAACTGCTTAATTTCCATGAATCCTGTTGTTGTTGAAATTAAATTGAGTGTTAACTATCTTGGGTGGAGTTGTACTTCTGACCTTTGTTAGTCGTCTCATAGCTTGTTGACTTTCAAGAACGTTCTTCGTTTAACGCACTGTAAAAAGAAACTGGGACTCAGTGGTACAACTCAACCTCTAATTTTACAATTTATTAATTCCTGCATTTTACCTATTGTTCTTTTTTGTTCCTCTTTGATCTTTTTTGGTCTACTAAAAAGTGACTATGTTATATTGCGTAGAGCTTCAAAAGGCGTCATCAGGGAGAGTGCTGTGCCTCTGGCTCAGGTGATTAAAACTGTAACTGACAGACATTTAAATTCTAGCAGGCGACTAGCTATAGTAATTTTAACTGACACTACGCATCCATATAATTCACAGCTCTCTCCTTGTATCTCCTCAGGTAGAACAAGGAAAAACTACAAAAGATTGTACGCTTGCACAGCCAAATACAAGAACTCGACTTTGCCTTGCCTAGAATGAATATTATGTGAGTAAAAATGTGTTAGAACAGAACTAACTTTTTAACAATAAATAATCTTTTACCACTAGTTTAACTAACAATGTAAAATTTTTCTTGTTATTATTCTTTACATAAATTGTCATATTAACACTACTCGAAGTGTTGTAAAGGAGTTAATATACGTTGTTACAATATATTAGGTTGAAAACTCCAAATTGCATCAAATATTTATTTGGGATAAAGCGACTAACGTCATCATTATTACTATTAAATTTGTTGAGAGACACCAAAAGCTTGTCAAAAGGATTTAACTGTTTAAAATATGGTCATCGAAAAGACTTAATGAAGCTTTGACTATTATAAAACATCCAATATACTTAGTTTAAAAACTGTATAATATTCAAACTGAAGCTCGCTAATGTTAGAGAGAGACGACATCGAGCTCGCTAAAAGGAAACGAAAACAAATCGAAAGAATTTCTTTTTTGCTCACTGGCAGAGATTATTTGAAGTGTTACTATTAGGTGAGAACTTAAATGTTCAAACAAGCTTGAAAAAATGAAGTGAATAAAGAAATAAGACATGCTAATTAACTATCAACGGAATACCATGACTGACCACGTTGTGGATAGCAGTAGAATTCAAGACACGCATTGCATATGAATTAGGAATCGTTAGAGGAATGCACCTGCACCCCAGTGACTGATGCTCTACCCATTGAGATTCAAATACCGTACCCATCGCTTCAAAGGCTAAAGCATTATCCATTGGGAAACTGATACATGATAGCTACCTATTGCAAACTGTCTATTAGTCAAAATTATTTGTGGATATTTGTAATCGTCCGCTGATATACAAGGTCGAATACATCGAATTGTCTTGGGATATGAGGAGTGGTGGTGAGGGGTAGACAGTGTCATAATGTAGGTGGGTATAATTGAAATGCTTGTGGCTAGCAGCGAAATACAAGGCGCGGGTTTTGTTCAACTCGAGAATTCTAGCCATTAAAAAGAAAATCACAACAATAAGTATTCAGGCATTATGGAGACATCAGCATATAAGCCCATATGCCAACAGAGGTCGACCAATTCGACCCTCTACAACAATGCATATTTACCACTTTCAACAAATAATAATAACCAAGACTCGCTGTAAAAGAGGTGGCTATCGTATCCCAGTGGCATACTAAATAATGCGTTGGTATTAGAGGCAATGGTTTCGAAGTGTGCTTCCCAGCGACAATAACATCACTTGTTGGAGTGTAGCTACATCCAGCTGAAAAATAAAAAGTAGAAGGGAACTCGCATGTTGAATTCTCCTTGTGACCACACATGTGTGAATCATAACCATATGTACTAGGGCAGAATTGGGGCAAGCGTACACGAGCCCACATGGTAAAAGGGGTCGATCTATAAGAACATGTATATCAACAGAAAATAAGAAGCACCAATAAAAAATTATAAATTACACCCGTTGTACAAGAGGTGAAAGTCTGAAACAAGTTAAATTGTGCAGAATTTATATGACGCTAGAAGCGAAGGGTATGACGATAGAATAATAAAAGATAAGAAAGTACGAAAAGGTGTATATATGCTCCCAGCTGACGAGTTTCAAATCTGAAAAAGCACGTATATTGTATTTAACTGATGGTCAATCATCAAAATAAATATCAACTTTGAGGTAACTGCAAACGAAATCATATACTAAAAGTGTTCAATCAATTCTACACTGTAAAGAAAGTAGAGCAACACAAGTATCGACAAATAAAAAACTAATACCCGTTGTAAAAGAGATGGACATCGTGACACACTAGCAAAGTGAAAAAAGCTTTGGCGAGTCAAGTGATGTGTACAGGGTAGGATTCACAGAGGGAAAGATATCAATCACTAGGAGGAAGGAACATACAGCTGATGAGTCCCGAATACAATGAAATACACCTCCAACATTTCACTACTAATCACAAACAAGTCAACCACAAAAAAGGAAAATTCAGGCAATATCGAAGCACCCGCATATGAGTGCATATGCCAGCAGCGGGTTATCTATTCGATACTTCATAACAACGGAGAATTAGAAGTATCAACATATAACAACTACTAATATCTGCTATAAATAACCTGACTATCGCGCTCAGTAGAGAAAAAAAACCCTATGGCGAATGAAATGAAGAAGATCAGGTTCTAGAATCAGCGGAAACAGCACCACAGGCTGAGCTGCAGCTGACTAGATTCCAATGCCGAGACATAGAACTTAATGCCATCCAAAACGAAATCAGTCACAAAAGTGTATAATATGCCGAATCGGCATCGACATAGAAGCCTATATGCCATAAGAGCCTGAAAACTACTACCTTGTTTAACACATAAAAGATGGAAGCATCCAAATAAGGGCAGCCAATTCGTGTTTTGCAAGATGTGACTACATATGAAGACACCAAATGCCAAGTGATCCACAATGAAATGCTGAGTGACGCCTTTGAAGTGAAGACAGAAGTAAGACAAGGTTGCTGCCTACTATCACCGATGATGTTCCCGATCGTGGTCTACTAGACACTGGATCATGCAGCAAACGGTGGGGAGCGAGAATAGGGGAATACGCTGGCTGGACCGATGAAAAGACACTGGAGGACTTGGATTTCGCCGATGATGATTTATGTCTAATGTCGCACAAACTCGAAGATCTGTAGGCAAAAACTAACAAGTCGGTAGGCCAGGGAAGACAGACAGGACTTCCTTCAGGTGAATGTAGAGAAGACGGAGGTGATGAAGATACCTAACGAACAACAGCATCAACAACAAGAGTCACCAATCACCATTAATGGGGGAAACCTAAAGGAAGTAGCCTCTTTCACTTATCTAGGCAGCATCGTTTCAAGTACAGGCGGCACAGACGAGGACGTCAAAACCAGGATCGGAGAAGCAGGGCAGGCTTTCACTAATCTGAAATCAGTGTGTAGATCTACTGCACTCAGCATAAAGCGTGAACAAGATCCGGATTTTCAACAGCAATATCAAGTCAGTGCTTCTATGTGATGGTCCAGAAACTTGGCATGTCACGAAGAGCATTTCCAACAAACTACAGACATACATCAAGAGCTGCCGCCTACGCTCGTTACTGAAGCTCAGGTGGCCAGAAAGAATAAGCAAGGAGGAACTCTGGGAACTAACCAACCAAGAACCTATCACGCAAAAAATATGCAGAAGAAAGTGGAGATGGACTGGGCATACACTGAGAAGGCCGGCTGGGGACATCATGTGCCAGGCACTTGAGTGGAATCCAATGGGGAAACGACGAGTTGGGCGTCCGAGGCGAGGGTGACATGGATGAGATCATGTGAAGAAGAAATGAAAGCTTGTGGGCAGTTGTGGCGCCAGGTTTAAAAGACTGCAGAGAAGAGAGTTCAATGGAGGCTTGCTGCTGAATGCTGATACTTTCTGCTGAGAACCGAATTTAGAAATGTGTATTAATGATAATACTGCTGCTATTAATGATAATAATTTGCTGATAATTTCAATTATCGAAATTTATGCTGAGTCGAATTGGTCGACCTT